ACCCACATGCTCAGAAAATAAGAGGGAATAAACCAACCGGATTTGCTCAGGTTGCTGCCCTGGTCTGAGGCCCCATATCCCTCAGGACAACTTCAAGGCAGATAAGGTCCCTCTTTTCTTTCAGTTCCTTTACATGGCAGAAGAGACTTGAAGGACAGAACATTTAGGCCAGCTGTCTATAGCTACCTCTGCACTCTGGGGACCCCAGGCATCCCTCATCCCTCCTGGGTTGGTATTGGCAGTCACATAGGCTGTCTTTCCCTTGCTTTGCAGATGCCAGCCTCAGAGTCCCACCTCCACCCTTAGTAAGGAAGCCCCTGACCCCTGCCTCCTTCATTGTGGGAAAGTGAACTCCAGCCTCTCTCTCCCTCATCCCAGATCAATGGCAGATGTCAGCATGATCCCCTCCTGGCTCCCTCCCTGTGACTCCTGCTCTGCCCCCACCCCCACCTCCATCACTTGCTTATTTATCCTTCACCTGGGCCAATGTCCAGCCTTCTAAGTGTTTTCCTTCTCCAAACTCTCCCTTCCCATTTGTCACCCTATAAGTAACCTGCCAGAATATTTTAAAGCACAGGGCTAAGGTCACACATGTACCAGCAACTTCTAATGCAAGACCAACAAGGACTAGATCTCTTTGAGGGCCCCCTGACCACATATCCAACTCCTGCTTCCTCAGTTCACAATTTCACTTCTCCTTATTTTTTCTTTCTCTTCCTGTTCTGTTCTGTAAAATTAGTCTCTGCTGTGGAATTTGCTTGCTCCCTTCTTTAGTTCACAATCAGGCATTTACTACCCCTCATGTTTGCGGCACCATGCTTTATAGTTTATAAACCATTCTCAAAGCTATTTGTGAAGGCCGGGCGCAGTGGCTCACCCCTGTAATCCCAGCACTTTGGGGGCCAAGGCGGGCAGATCACAAGGCCAGAAGTTCAAGAACTGCCTGGCCAACATGGTGAAACCCCCATTTCTACTAAAAATACAAAAATTAGCTAGGCATGGTGGCGGACGCCAGTAATCCCAGTTACACAGGAGGCTGAGGTAAGAGAATCGCTTGAACCCGGGAGGCAGAGGTTGCAGTGGGCCTAGACCGTGCCATTGCACTCCAGCCTGGGAGACAGAACAAGGCTCCACCTCAAAAAAAAAAAAAGCTATTTGTGGAGCACTGAGCCCTGGACATACTGTAGAGAGTAAAAACAGATGTGGCTGATTAAGTCAATAAAATCTGTTGAGGACCCTGACCAAAAGTCATCTGTTCCAAAATCTTAAGTGGATCTGTGAGGAAAGATATTTTATCATTGTCTCTCTTACCACTCTTCCCCCCGACTCCCAAACTATGGCCTCTCTGGCGTCATGGCGACAAAGTACAGAAGACAGAGGCTTGCAGATTCTTAAAGAACTTTATCTAGATCCGTCTGGCTTTGAGTTAAAAAAAAAAATTTAAAAAGAAAAAAAATTTTTTTAATTAAAAAAAAAAAAAACTGTATCAACCTTGCGAGCGTCATGAGAGCAGCTACTTGGATGTTGCAAGCCCAGTGCAAACTCGTGTACCCTGCTATCAAGCAACATCTTGAATTTCCTTCCCTTTATATTAACTACCCACACATAATAAGCCGCATCTATTATTTGTGTGAGCCTAGGCTTATTACTTTGATTTCAGAGCCTCCATTTCTTCACCTGGAATATGTGATTAGAAATCTGTCATTCTTGAGCCATCACCTCCTTGGCATCATGGCCACCCTTAGAACCCTTGTGAAACCCAAGATTGTCAAAAAGAGAATCAAGAAGTTCATCCGGCACCAGTCAGAACAATATGTCAAAATTATGCGTAACTGGAGGAAACCCAGAGGTACTGACCACAGGGTTCACAGAAGGTTCAAGGGCCAGATCTTGATGACTAACATTGATTACTGAAGCAACAAGAAAACAAAGCACATGCTGCCCAGTGGCTTCTGGAAGTTCCCGGTCCACATGTGAAGCAGCTGGAAGTGCTGCTGATATGCAACCAATCTTACTGTGCTAAGATCGCTCACAACGTTTCCTCCAAGAACCACAAAGCCATTGTGGAAAGAGATGCTCAGCTGGCCATCAGAGTCACCAACCCCAATGCCAGGCTGTGCAGTGAAGAAAATGAGTAGACAGCTTACGTGCACGTTTTGTGTTTAAACAAAACTGTAAAAGCTGCAAAAAAAAGAAAAAAGAAAACTGTCATTCTTGGCCTGCCACAGTGGCTCACCCATGTAATCCCAGCACTTTGGGAGGCCGAGGCAGGCAGATCACTTGAGGTTGGGAGTTCAAGACTAGCCTGGCCAACATGGTGAAACCCTGTCTCTACTAAAAATACAAAAATTAGTCAGGCGTGGTGGCACATGCCTGTAATCCAAGCTGAGGCAGGAAAATCACTTGAACCCAGGAGGCAGAGGTCGCAGTGAGCTGAGATTGCGCCACTGCACTGCAGCCTGGGCCAAAGTGAGACTCTGTCTCAAAAAACAACAACAACAAGAACAAAACTGTCATTCTCATAAGGTTTTCCGGATGATCAAACAAGATAAAGGTACATATCAAACAAGATAAAGGTACATTAAATAGCTTTAAAGAGTTATAGTGTACAATATAAATGTATTTATTCAATGCCACTTTCTTCTTTAAATCAATTATATGGCCATTATTTATTTCATAAATAGGCACTCAGTAACTTTGAAATATTATGGTCCAGATGGAGACAAAACAGGGTTCTAAAACAGAAATACAATGTGGTCAAAATTTTATATTTTTTTTTTTTTTTTTTGAGACGGAGTCTCGCTCTTGTTACCCAGGTTGGAGTGCAATGGCGCAATCTCGGCTCACCGCAACCTCCGTCTCCTGGGTTCAGGCAATTCTCCTGCCTCAGCCTCCTGAGTAGCTGGGATTACAGGCATGCGCCACCATGCCCAGCTAATTTTTTGTATTTTTAGTAGAGACGGGGTTTCACCATGTTGACCAGGATGGTCTCGATCTCTTGACCTCGTGATCCACCCGCCTCGGCCTCCCAAAGTGCTGGGATTACAGGCTTGAGCCACCGCGCCCGGCCTAAAATTTTATATTTTCTAATAGTGACACTAAAAATCAGCAAAATTAATTTTAGTAATCTATAATCTTGACCTACTGTACCCAGAATGTTATCATTTTAATACCTGATTCACATAAAAGTTACCCTCTTTTTGGTACTAAGTCTTTGAAATCCTGTGTGTCTTTTACATCAGCAGCACATCTCATTTGGGACTAACCACATTTCAAGTGCTCAGTAATCACATATGGATACTGTGTAGGAGCACACACTAATTGGTTATGTAAATACGAATTAGGTAAGATCTGTGAAGTACTTTATGGCTGCCAAAAGTCTTCTGGCATTTGAATTTTGTGTTAGCCCCAGCAGGTGGATATTTATCACTTCCATTTTGTAGAGGAGAGGCTGCAGCAATTACCTGTAAGTCACCTAAGATCATCCAGCTAGTAAATGGTGAACTCAATTCTTGTCTTAAACCTGGTCACTTTCCTTTTTGCTTGTCTAAACAAGCAATACAAACTTAGTATTATCGTACACATAGGTCCCTTGGCTCATTGCACCAGTGCAGGAGAGAAACAATTATTTCAAAATCCACCTACAATCTAGTCTTCAAAAATCCTGCCGTTTAATCCCACCAGAATCTATTAACTCTATTTTAAAAATGTATGTTAATCTTCCAGCTTTAATGTGCTGTGAATAAAAGTGCCGTAGGCAGGTATTTAAAAAATCCTACCCTCATTATATTCTCCATCTGATATGGAATATATGATGTACACATATTCTGCAAATGAATACATGATATAGAGTCATTTTACTCTTTTTACTCTTGTGAATTACAACGTGGTACTGTAGGAAATGAGGAAGCTTAAAAAGCCAAATTTTCTCACTAGAGCATAACCAGACACAGCAGACTATCAGCGGTTTCTCTACCAGAAGACGGCAGGCAGTCAAGGACGACTCAGTTGGACCAGCGACAGGCCAGCTGATCTTCCCGAAGAGATGCCAAGGGCAGCTGACTGCCCTTTTGGCCCGCGAAGTTGTTCCTTGCGGGCCCAGAACTGCCCAGAGGAGACAGAGGAGGCCCTCAGGAGCCACAGCTCTTCCTGACCTGGCCAGTATTTGCAGCCCTGGGGATCCCCTTCCCTTACCCGACACAATGCAAGGACCGGGAGCGGGGTGCGGGCTGAAAGGCAATTAAAAATCTTGTAAAGCCCTATCTGCTAGTTCTCCCAGTAGGCTAGGTCCCTGTAAATATCCTCCACAAGAACTAAACTGGGTGGGTGAAGGCTCCCTCCCCAGGGGTGCCGGGACCGCCTCCAGGGCTTGTCCCCGTTTCAGTCCCAGTTCCTCCTGGTTCAGTGCATTCACACGAGCGCAGGGCAACAATTCTCCGCGGGTGTTCGTGTGTGACCGTGTGATATGCCTTCGCCTGGCAGATGTCGGGTTGAACATTAATTTCTGTAACAGGCCCACTGGCGCAGGTCCCTGAGCCCACAGATTCACGGGGGTCTGGCCGAAAGTGCGTCACAACCTACGTGGCCCAAGAGCAGTGCGCACGCGCAGCGCGACACAACGTTGGGCTGTCCGCAAATTCCGGACGCTAAGGGGAGACAAGGCAGTGACGTGTCCTAAGGGTCCGACCGCCCCAGACACCCCTCTTTGGTTCCACCGCTTGAGATGAGTGTACATCTCTGGAAGCACGATCCAAGAAGAAGGGAGGGGGCCGCTGCGGATCGCAATCGGTCGGTCGGCCGGCCGGCCGGCCAACAGGCGACGTCCGCCCGGAGCCAGCCTGAGGGATGCAGAGACTTACGGCTCCTACCGGCGCCCCGCCCCGCGCATGCTCGCGCACTGGGAGTCAGCTGGCTGCGCAGGCGGTCACGGGACGCGGGGCGGTGCCCAGCCAGCTGGAGGGAGGGAAGCGTTAGGTGAGGAGGGAAGCAAACTGCTGGACCAGCGGCGACGATAGCTGAAGAATGGCCGCGATCTATGGGGGTGTGGAGGGGTGAGTGCTGCCCGGCGGAGGGAGCCTGGGCCCGAGGGCGGGGCGGGAAGCCATGGGCAAGCTGGCTGGCTGCTGGCCTCGCGCCTCGGCTTCTGGCCACTTTGGATGGCGGGGCCTTGCGAAGAATAGGTGTGTGCACGCGCAGGGGCGCCGTGGCGCGCGCGGCCGTATGCCTTGCGGGGACTCTGCGTGTGCCACGGCCACACCCCGGGTGGGGGGATCCTTTGTATTTCATGGTGGAACCACGCCCCTTTCTCCCATGAAAGACGCACTCGGCTGTCCTCAGTTGGAGAAGCAGCTCCTTTTCCCTATTCCTGACTTCGGACGGAGTTTTGCAGAACAGGTGTCAGGTGTGAAATTGTTGAGCCGGGCAGGGTGGGGAGTGGGAGTGGGGAGAAGAGGGACAAAGATCTTGGCTGGAGGTTATCCGGGAGCTGGAGCAGCTGCGAGCCAGAGTGCTAGGTTGTCCTGATGTCTGAAAACCGCTCCATCCTTGTTGGCTTTCCATGCTGCCTACACTGCATTGCATTTTTCTGCTCAGATGCTTGTTTACTGAACTTTTTGTAATAGCTCTGCCACTGGGTATGACTATGGACAAGATATTTGCCCTCTCTGGGCTTCAGTTACCATATGTTCAATGTGAGGATAGGGATAAATAGGATCACTGTGCCCTGCCAGTGGCAACATTCTGTGAATCCGTGTGTGTCAAATCAGGGAATAATGGGAGTGGCTGTCCTCTCCGTCAGGCACTGTACTTTCGAATCTGTGATTGGTTTCACTTCTCTGCAGCCACACGCCACTGCTGACCCACAGACCACAAAGTCTTTTCACATGAATTGTTAGGAATGATCTTTCCCATCCTTTATCTGTAGAACTTAAAAACAGTATAGGAGTCTGCATTCATTCTTGTTATAGTCATCTGTAAGATATGACCCGTTTCTTCCAGTTCGTCAAGATATTCTTTTAGATGTTTAATCTGCCACCTCATGTATTAACTACCCCCTTGAAATTTCATGTCTCTTTGAGTTTGATGAGCAATCTTCAGTGTCCTCTTCTGCCATTCCTAAAAGTAATGATCTATAAAGGAACATATATCCCACCACCACAGACATCCCGGTAAACTACTGTGCCCCCCAATAATCAACATTTGAAGGTTTAGTTGCTTAAGTATATATAAACTCACCCTGCCGTCTGGTCAGCATTTCTCCCAAAGGTATCTTGAAGACCTTAGCAGCGGTAGCTTGAAAGTCAGCCTTTAGCTGTTGTGACGGGAAGCAGAGAGATATACCATTTTCCTTAGGAGTGTTTGCTGAGCATTGCCTGTGCTAGGTCCTGTGCTAGTTCTGAGAGGATGAGTGATTGGGAGCATGACCCAATGGAGCTTGAAGTCTAGTGACAGATGGACACAGAGTCATTAAACACACTTTATACAGAGGAGTCTTTAATAACTTTGGGGGCACTATCAAGGTTTAACTAATGGAGACTTAACTAATTTTGGGGGGTGGGCCACACCTCAGAAAAGGTTTCAAGGACGAGGTAAAGTGTAAGTAGAGTCTTGCAGGATAAGGAGGACATCCCCAAGGGAAGAGGAGTGAGAATTATGTTTCAGTTAAAGAGCACACAAACACTGAACCATAGAGGTGGGTTTGGGAGAAGTGATTGAGTTTGTTGAAGCTGTCTCCTCCATCACACTAGGCTCTGCCAGTGTGGACCGCACAAGCTTAGCTCTGTCGGTGGGTTTTTCCGAGCAAGACTGAGTGCCCTCTTGTGTTCTGTAGGGGAGGCACACGGTCCAAGGTCCTTTTAGTCTCAGAGGATGGGAAGATCCTGGCAGAAGCAGATGGACTGAGCACAAACCACTGGGTAAAAACCACACCGAGGGGACCAGAGGGCTTGGTTCTGATTTTATTCTCTGTAATTCCTGTTGAGGTGGTGGCTGGGGCTCATAGAGCAGCCTGTAGGGGCAACACAGCTTCTGCAAGCCTTTGTAACTCCTCCTTCCCTTGATTGGGGCCAGCTGATCGGGACGGACAAGTGTGTGGAGAGGATCAATGAGATGGTCAGCAGGGCCAAACGGAAAGCAGGGCTGGATCCTCTGGTACCTCTGCGAAGCCTGGTGAGTCTGGGGTGGAGCCTGGGATTCAGCCATCAGTGACCCTGAGACAGGTTGCAAGTTTGGACTAGATGAGTTTGACGACTGTCGAGGGAAAGACCTCCAAGACTTAGTCCCTGGGGTCAAAACTGTCATAATCTCACCTGTGTCATGGCTTCACTTGTCACCTACAAACTACAAGTGTGTTGGAAGAGCACAGGGCTTTGGAGAGCTGCTGAGACCTTGGTTTGAATCCCAGCCTTGCTGCTCATTATCTGTGTAACCCTGTGTAGGTTACTTATCTTCTCTAAGCCTCAGTTTCCTCATTTGGAAAATATGGATAGTAGCTACCTCAGTGCTGTTGGGAAAGTCAAATGACATGATACATCGCGGAGTGGTTAGTATAGAGCCTGACCCATAAGCACTAATTAAATGTTAGCTATTATTACTCCAGCTCTTTCTCCCAAGTTGCGGTAGCTCCAGCTACTCCCTGAACATACACGAGATGTTCGGCAGACATAGGCAACCCCATGTACGCCAAACCAAGCTTACCTCTCCGTCTCCTCTCACCTTGTCCCACTGCCTGATCTTTCTGTTAAGAACGCTAACACTCTCCCAAGCTCCAAAGCTGACATTGTTGAATCCCCTCTTCCGTCCATCCCCAGTCCAGGTTGTTCTTGCAACCACAGCCTTCTGAGGGGTCATTGTGTGGGAGAAAGGAGGACTGGGGCTGGGTGAGCAGGGTATGGCTGGATGTGGAGAACAGGAATCAGGCATCAGGATGGGGAGGGGGTTGAGAAAAGAGCTGGGGCTGGGGCTCTGGACACTGGCTCACCTCCCACATGGCCTAGGGCCTATCTCTGAGCGGTGGGGAGCAGGAGGACGCAGTGAGAATCCTGATCGAGGAGCTGAGGGACCGATTTCCCTACCTGAGCGAAAGCTACTTAATCACCACTGATGCCGCCGGCTCCATCGCCACAGCTACACCGGATGGTGAGGAAGTGGAGGGACGGGTGAGATTGAGAACTGGTTTTCTTGGGAAAGTCCCCTAGATATAGCTGACAAACTTGTTCTGCAGATATCCAGAAGGCAGCCTTTCCCCTCGACTCCTTTCAGTAGTCTAAGTCTCTGCCAGAGCAAGGACAAGGCAGCAGGAGGGAAAGCAAGGAAGGTCTCTTGATGGGAATCCAAGTAGAGTCAAACAGAACTCCCCTGTGGACGAGGAAGCTCCTGGGGGTGGTGTGGTGAGGAAGGCAGGCTGGGGAAGCTGTCAGTGCTGAGGAGGAAGTGGGGTGGCCCTGTGAGAATGCTGGTGTCATGGGATTGGCGTTTGAATCCCAGATCCTGTTTTGCCAGCTATACCATCTTGACGAAATTCTAAAACTGTGAGTTTCAATGTCCTTATCTATAAAATAGAAGTAGTTGTATTCATAAGATGGTTTCAGGTATGAGTGAATATCACTGTGAGAATGGGGTCTAGCACCATCCCAGTAGAGCAGGCAGAGTCACCAGAAGGCTGGCTGGGGAAGGAGCCACCTTCCCTCTGAGAGGTGCAGGCTTGTGTTTCTCTGTGTCCCCCTAGACAGGGGCATTAGGGGATTGGAGTTTTTCTGAGACCCAGGCCCTGACCCTCAGGCAGGAAACTAGCTGGGCTCAGTCTTCTCCTCTACAGCACTGGGTGGTGATCCCTTGCCTGGGGCTGGTTTCTGTCCTGTCTCCACAGTTGCAAGCTGTTGCTCTGTGCCAGGCCTTGGCCACACTGAGCCTCCCATTTCCTTTCCCCAGGTGGAATTGTGCTTATCTCTGGAACAGGCTCCAACTGCAGGCTCATCAACCCTGATGGCTCTGAGAGTGGCTGCGGCGGCTGGGGCCATATGATGGGTGATGAGGGTTCAGGTGAGCTCACTGACCAGCCTAGCTCCGAGTCCTGGATCTGCCCCTTCCTTCATTCCCGGTCTTTCTCTCTCTACCCTTGACTCTGAGCCTTTGGGGCTTCCTGGGGACAGCTTCTGAACCTGGCCATTCCACGTGCAGGATGACTGAGATCATAGAGGTGCAAATGCTGGACTAGCTGCTGACCCTGCTCTCCAGCAGTGACTTGCACCCAGGACTCAGATTCATCCTTCAGCACAGGGGCCTGCCTGCGTTGGCTTGGAGTCCTTAGGGAGAAGTTGAAACTGAGGGTAAGGCCATAGATGCCAGGAACTGCCATACCAGTCTGCTAGGGGGAAAGGGGTTGAGAAGCCCTTGCCACCATCACCTCTCTATAGGTGGCATGTGTATATTTTCATAGGGACCCTTGAGGTCCAGTTCGTGGCAGTGACTCCAGTGTTGTTTGTGACAACAGACTGACCTTGTCTCATCTTTGGGTAGGAGCTGGTGTGACACAGCCTCACCTATTCTGTCTTCCCCTCCAATTTTCCCTTATCTTGGTCAGTCAGATACAGTTTGATTAGAGATGCGCCCGTTCCCCCCCAACCCCCGTTGGGAATCAGAAAACCAAATTTGTATAAAACTCAAGATCACTAACCTATCTGGATCTGAGTTTCCTTCCTCATGAGCTCAAGGTGACTGCTCCCATCTTCTTAGCTCTCTCTGTTTCCTGCAGCCTACTGGATCGCACACCAAGCAGTGAAAATAGTGTTTGACTCCATCGACAACCTAGAGGCGGCTCCTCATGATATCGGCTATGTCAAACAGGCCATGTTCAACTATTTCCAGGTACTCCTCCTGCTCCCAGTAAACACACACATCTGGGGTAGGGCAGTGAAACACTCCAAGTAAGAGAGGATGCAGAGGGTGCCTGGGTGGGCTGGCAGGAAATAAGATGAGTTGTGGATGAGGACAGCGTTCACAGTGATGTGGGCAGTGCATTCTAGGAGGGTGTCAGTCATGAGAAAGGGGTGGTTTAGGGACAAGTGATTAGCCAGACTTCATTCCTGGGCAGCTAGAACCTGCTGGGAGGTGAAAGCAATGGCATTCTAGGCTAGAATGAAAAGTGCAGGTCAGGGGCAGAGATAGCAGGTAGAGTTTAATGGATGCCCTGGGCTGAGCTCTTCTGCTCTGTTTGGGTCAAGAGAGCCCCTGAAGAGGTGGACAGGGAGAGTTCTGGGGGAGATGCATCATCCTCCCCAGGGCATTGGGGATTGGCTATTCTTATCTGTTCTGTGTTCATTTGCAGTAAATTAGGAAGCACCTGCCTTTAGCGGAACCAGAGGTAAAAGGCAGAAGAGAAGGTGAAAGGAAGAGGACAAGGCCAATCAGTTTATTTGATAGTTACCTGTGAGGCCCAGTTCGTCTTTTATCCAGCCATGTAGGTGGACTGGGTCTGACACCAGGATGAGGACCAAGGAAGGGAAATAGAGATACTGGGAAGTAGGGCCTGGATTCTCAGAGCTGAGGAGCCCTGGCTAGGCCAAGGTGAGAAATAGGGAGGGACCAGGAAGAGAAATTGCTGGATAAGCAGGTGTTGTAGGAAATGCATTTAGCAACTATTAAGCTATCCCGACTCAGCCAGTTGGTTCTAAACTCCACTGATATGTCACTCCTCCATCTTCTATCCTTTAGTCATTCTTATAGGGTTGTGACAAAGATCAAATAAGATAGTATATAACATGCTTAGTACATTGCTGTAGGTACTCAAGTTTTACCGCCCACTCCCTCAGACATTTACTTAAAATATATTCTGTGGGCCAGGCATGGTGGCTCACACCTGTAATCCCAACACTTTGAGAGGCCAAGGCAGGTGGATCACTTGAGGTCAGGAGTTCAAGACCAGCCTGGCCAACATAGTGAAATGCCATCTCTATTAAAAATACAAAAATTAGCGAGGCGTGGTGGCAGGCACCTATAATCCCAGCTACTCGGGAGGCTGAGGCAGGAGAATAGCTCGAAGCCAAGAGGCAGAGGTTGCAGTGAGCTGAGATCACAGCATTGTACTCCAGCCTGGGTGACAGAGCAAGACTCTGTCTCATTTAAAAAAAAAAAAAAAATGTATTCTGGAGAACCACTGGTTCCTCAGGACCTTAGAGGTGTTAAAGGTGTGTAAGTTTGTTGGGATTGGAAGGACCTACCTTCTGTGGTCAAGTAAGTTTTGGGAGAAACAAATTGATTTATTGATGGCAGAACTTCTCAGAGCCTTTAATTTGCTAATGTGCATTGTGACTCCCCATGGGAGAGTTTCAATGTGTAATATTCCTTAGATTCCTTTGACCAAATAATTCTTTTCAAGAAAACCCCAACCCAGCTACTCAGCAGGCTGACATGGGAGGATTGCTTAAGGCCAGCCTAGGCAACAACAAGACCTTGTCTCTAAAAAGAAAAAAAAAAATTACAAAAAAAGAGCAGCTTAAGAAACTATAGAAAACACTTCGGTGAAAACTGTAGAAAACACTGTTCTCTGTGCTGCCTTCAAACTAACCTGTAAAATAATGAAATCCATGTTGGGGAAATAAAGAACTCTTCTCAAATGAGAAATCTCAAATCTTTGTATTTTGGAGTTAAAAAAAAAATGATTCTAGCATTTCCAACAGTAGAAACATTAGGAAGGCCAACTGTGGTGGACAGATTGGGGATTTTCTTTTGCTTCTGATGACTCTCTTGTCCCCTTTCTCCATCTCTCAGGTGCCAGATCGGCTAGGAGTACTCACCCACCTGTATAGGGACTTTGATAAATGCAGATTTGCTGGGTTTTGCCGGAAAATTGCAGAAGGTACTGGAGGCGGGGTGGGTTTTATCTGGCTTTGTTCTCCAAAGACATCCTCAGTTGGGGGCTGGAGTGGGGTTCGGACAGGACTGGACAACAAATTTGCTCTCACCAAGCGACCTCAGTTCTCTGCCATCACTGACCTTGGTGGTGGTGGGCCTCGGGGTGGAGGCAGAAGGGCACCTGGGTTGTGTTGAGTTTTGTATTACCTGTGTTTTTCTCTGTAATAGCTATCATGGTTTGTATAGGCTGTATGCCTGTTTCTATTAAATTTATGAAGCAGTTATCCTTTGGACACATCTGTAACTTTTTTTCCCTAGCCAATTATACTCAACTAGGGGACTTTAGAGAGGTTAGGCAGATTTTGTTGGGTGTCAGGGGATGCTGAACTTATATATCAGTTCATATGCTGGCTTATATATCTGTATGTTGCTCTTTCTCTACTGTAAGGCCCATAGTGCCTTAATTTGGGTTCCTGCAGCCTCAGGGCATTCTAGGGCTCTCTTAGATCCTGCTGGACTGAGTCCCTTCTAGAAGAGAGCCAGGAACAGGGTAACCAACAGCAGACTGTTGGAAGTGGGTGGAAGGCACTGACAGGAGTACCAGCCAGCCGTTCAACTAGGGTCCTGGGTACCCAGGGCTGACAGCCTCAGGAACAGACTTACAGTAATTCATTGTGAGCTGTATACAAACCAGGTGCCAGTATACTCCTTTAGTGGCAGCTGCCCTCCCTTCCTAAGTTGGGGACCTGAGTGAGCACCTCTATACAGGGCACCTCCCCACAGAGGGAGGTAGCTGGTGTGTGTGTCAGTGGAGACTTGCTTCTGCACGTGCCACGAGGTGGGCATCCATCCTGCAGTAGACTCCTGCTAGCTCAGGGTGCTTTCATGGTGGCTCCCTTGCAACAGATAGAGAATAGCTCAGGACTGGCAGCTCCCTCATTTCTCACCAGTTCCATTCTTCCATCCTCCCTACTCCAGGTGCTCAGCAGGGAGACCCCCTTTCCCGCTATATCTTCAGGAAGGCTGGGGAGATGCTGGGCAGACACGTCGTAGCAGTGTTGCCTGAGATTGACCCGGTGAGTTGAGGTGGGAGTGAAGGTGGGGAGCTGCTGGGCCAGGAGTGGTCCTTTCCCACTGGGGATGGGACTATCCCATCAAACCGTATGTAAGTTGGATACTATTTTAAATGAACTTAGGGTCTGAGAAACATTCTGCAGAATGTCTATAACAAAAAAGTTCTTTGGTCAAGTGCTCCCCTCTGTAATTGGCCTGTAACCTATATTTATATATAGTAAATTGGTTTAATGTGCATGTGTGCATGTGCTGTCCCCTTTCTTTCTCTTTTTTTTTTTTTTTTTTTTTTTTTTTTTTTTTTTTTTTTTTTTTTTTTTTTTTTTTTTTTTTTTTTTTTTGAGACAGACTATCGCTCTGTTGCCCAGGCTGGAGTGTAGTGGTGCAATCTCGGCTCACTGCAACCTCCGTCCGCCTCCTGGATTCAAGCGATTTTCGGGCCTCAGCTTCCTAAGGTGATGGGACTACAGGCGCCTGCCACCACACCCAGCTAATTTTTGTATTTTTAATAGAGATGGGGTTTCACCGTGTTGGTCAGGCTGGTCTCGAACTCCTGACCTTGTAATCCGCCTGCCTCAGCCTCCCAAAGTGCTGGGATTACAGGCCTGAGCCACAGCATCCAGCTTCTTTTTCTTTTTTCTAGACATAGTCTCACTCTGTCAGCCAGGCTGGAGTGCAGTGGTGTAATCTCTGCTCACTGCAAACTCTGCCTCCCATTCCACCTCCCAGGTTCAAGCGATTCTCATGCCTCAGGCTCCCCAGTAGCTGGGATTATAGGCACACATCACCATGCCCAGCTAATTTCTGTATTTTTCGTAGAGACAGGGTTTTGCCACGTTGGCCAGGTAGGTTTCGAACTCCTGACCTCAAGTGATCCACCCACCTTGGCCTCCCAAAGTGCTGGGATTATAGGCATAAGCCACCACGCCTGGCCTGTCCCCTTTCGTTCAGTCATGTTTCTGTTCATTTTCCTCACTTTTCTCTTTCCTTCCTCCCTATTGTTGCTTACCTCTTTTTTCCTTCCTCTTCTCTCCTTGGCCTTTATAAGTCTCTCCTATTTTCCTCCCTTTTTTCCTTTCCTGAGTCTATCTTCTGTTTCTTGGCTTGAGGGAGAAAAAATGGGATAGGGTGGGTTGGTCATAGGAAATTCCTGCCTTCAGCACTGGAGAGGCTAGATTGGCCCCTGTATGCATTTTCTGCTCTCCACCTAGGTCTTGTTCCAGGGCGAGATTGGCCTCCCCATCCTGTGTGTGGGCTCTGTGTGGAAGAGTTGGGAACTGCTGAAGGAAGGTGAGCCTGGGGGGAGGTGGGAAGGGTAAGGACACGGGATGGGGCTGGAGAGGAGGTGGCCCAGGAAAGCTGCTTGCCCCAGAGAGAATCTACTCCCTGGACCCTGAGGTCTAGACTTGACACTGATGCCCCAACCTCACTCTGCCATTGGGCCCTTTAATAATGTCCCATCCACCTTCCTTGAACTCTTGAAAAGATGTTGTATTCCAAATGATTTATTAAATAGTACCCACTTTTTTTTTTTTTTTTTTTTTGAGACAAAGTCTCACTCTGTTGCCCAGGCTGGAGTGCAGTGGTGCAGTCTCGGCTCACCACACTCTCTGCCTCCCAGGTTCAAGCAATTCTCCTGCCTCAGCCTCCTGAGTAGCTGGGACTACAGGTGCACACCACCATGCCCGGCTAATTTTTGTATTTTTAGCAGAGACGGAGTTTCATATGTTGGCCAGGTTGGTCTCGGACTCCTGATTTTCTGATCTGCCTGCCTTGGCCTCCCAAAGTGCTGGTATTACAGGCGTGAGCCACCACACCCAGCCTAGTAGCCACTTTTAAAAAGTTAATTGAAGACTGATCTAACTTAAAATCAGAGCACTGACTGGCGTGGGATAACCTGTGGTGACATCCTTAGTCAGCATAATCCTACCCAGAAAAAAAGAGGCCTGCCTTCTTAGCCCTGGCAGCCTTATGCTAGGCAGTTGGACGATTTCCCCTGGACATTCTGAAGTAGCTCTAGGACTCCCATTGCTACCATGGAGTTGCTGGCATTGGGTCCTCTGGAGCTGAGAGGAGGCCAGGCCCCCTGTGCTGCTGGCTCCAATATGCAAGTACCCAGTGTACCCTGTGTGTCAGGGATTTGGCATGTGGGCCCCTCCAGCACCTCTACAAGAGTACCTCAAGGTCTGGGCATCCTTATCTCTCTTTCTTCCTGGTCCCATACAGGTTGCTGGTCTCCTCTTACCTCTGTCCTTCTGTTCTTCCTTCCAGGTTTTCTTTCGGCGCTGACCCAGGGCAGAGAGATCCAGGCTCAGAACTATTTTTCCAGCTTTACCCTGATGAAGCTGAAGTACTCCTCCGCTCTGGGTGGGGCCAGCCTAGGGGCCAGGCACGTCGGGCACCACCTCCCCATGGACTATAGCGTCAATGCCATTGCCTTCTATTCCTACACCTTTTCCTAGGGGCCTGGTCCCAGCTCCACCCACTCCAAGCTCAGTAGATACTGGGTTTGGAAGGAAGGAGTCTTTTGCTTCCTTTTTCCTTTTTACAAAAACACACATGGAAGAAAATAAAAGCACTTTATCCACTCCCCAATTGGACTGCGTTGTCCGACACACGTGCTGTGTACATCCTCAGTGCAACTACCAGCAGATATCCCGGAGGGCTCAGGGTGGATTTAGTCCAAGGTTTAAAATCCCCGCCCCGCCGGGCACGGTGGCTCACGCCTGTAATCCCAGCACTTTGGGAGGCCGAGGCGGGTGGATCACGAGGGCAACAGATCAAGACCATCCTGGTCAACATGGTGAAACCCCGTCTCTACTAAAACTACAAAAAATGAGCTGGGCATGGTGGCGCGTGCCTGTAATCCCAGCTACTCAGGAGGCTGAGGCAGGAGAATTGCCCGAACCCAGGAGGCGGAGGTTGCGGTGAGCCGAGATTGCGCCATTGCACTCCAGCCTGGGTAACAAGAGCGAAACTCTGTCTCAAAAAAAAAAAAAAAAAATCCCCGCCCCCAGGTGTGATCTGCATCCACTCAGCATGCATTTGGGCAGACAATTTATCTGTGTGATACCCTTCCCCCACATTACCACACACACGCACTGTGTGGCTACCAGTTAACCTGTGGCCTGTCTTCTCCTGTTGTGTCAAATGTGTAATGATCCCTGTGTGACCACAGTCACCAGAACCAAGTGTCTGCCATGCAGACCATCACAGGGAGGACCTTAGGCATATCACACCCCTCATGGGACTCCAAAGGGACCAGCGTACAATTCTAGACTGGGAGCATCCTTACCTCACTGGATTTAGTAATTGCAGGTAAGCAGGACATTTTGCCAGTTTTTCATATGAATGAGTTCTTGAAAGGTTACAAGGATTGCTGAGATCCAAGAAGACCAACTAGGCACCACTCACCTATTCCTGGCTACTACTAGCCTGGCTCTGCTTACAGCAAGACACTTTGTGTTTGTTGTGTGGCCCTGGGAACGAGGGCATCAGTGAAGACCGGACAAGATTGCTGTCCTCCAGATACCATAGTTCACTGTGAAGACAAGCCTGAAGCTTCTGTTCCACTGCCTGTGCTGCTTGGTAAAGACTGAAGGCAGCAGTCTTGATCCACAATAGCCGCCGCTCTAGCTGTTTTACGAGGAGGCATGGATCGTGTCCTGCACATCAGTTCTCCAACTTAACAGACATCAGTTATTCTAGAGTTTGTTTTAAAATCGGGTTTCTGTCTTCTCCCCTCCCCTGCCCTAAGGTATCTGATAATAATAGGTTAAGGAGGGATGGGGAATTTTTATTTCTATTATACTAAACAGCTGGAGTAATTTCTGCTGCAGAGGGCCAGCATCTGCACTTGAGGGAGTTCTACGCTACAGCTGCTAAGTTCTGATTAGGCCCTCTAAGGCGTCTTCAATACTACCTTGTCACTCAAGTCAGATGACACTGTTCTTTCACAGTGTAGCATTCATGTAGAACAGAAAGGTAACAGCTCTCCTTCCATCAGCTCTAGCCCAATGCTGCAAGCTGGAGTTCTGAGCAAGAAGAACTCCAGCCAGGTCCCTTCTGAAAGAACAGCCAGCCATCTTCCCATCCACCTATGACCAAATCACTGCGGTCTCGCACTCAGGAAGTCTCCAGTCCAGCACCTGGTAAAAAGTTTGCAGAGAGAACAAGGACACAGCAGAGCTATCTTTGCTATATCCCACAGTCCTGATAATACTGTTGGGTTATGAATGCGTAGTGAGCTTTGGACATTTTTTAAAATACACTCTCAGGATGAAGATCAAACAGTATTTTGGTGAAAAGAGTTTGTAATTACTGATACCTACTTTTGTTCTTCAGAAGATGGCTATCACTTGTCTTTAGAATTGTCTAGACTATAATTCCAATTGGACAGCGGAGGTTTTAGTAGAGGAGCACATCTTGACTTTTTTAGTCTCAGAATATAACTGTTGAAAAAAGGCAGTATGAAAGTGCATAGGTCTGATGTGTTCCTAGTTCCTGTCACGTTTAGGAGACGTGATGAGGTCACTTCCTCCCCAGTTATTAAGCATTAAGTTATTACACAGCTTGTAGTGCAGAAAATCATTAATTTAATTTAATCTAATTTTTGAGACGGAGTCTTGCTCTCTTGCCCAGGCTGGAGTGTGGTGGTGTGATCTCTGCTCACTGTGACCTCTACCTTCCCAGCTACTTGGGAGGCAAAGGCAGGAGGTTCAAGTGACTCTCCTACCTCTGCCTCCCAAGTAGCTGCAATTACAGGCATGCACCACCACACCCTGCTAATTTTTTTTTTTTTTTGTATTTTTTTAGTAGAAAGTTTTCGCCATATTGACCAGGCTAGTCTCGAACTCCTTACCTCGAGTGATGCACCCGCCTCAGCCTCCCAAAGTGCTGGGATTACAGGCAGTGTCCCTCAACAAGCTATCTGGAGCAATTCAGGGAATTCTGCATATCCAAGGCATTAGAGATGTATACATTTGTCTCATCTGAACCAGTTACAGCCATGTGAGGAGACAAGAGAGCTTGGAACAAGCACTGGAATGAGGCTGGCACTGCTTTGTCTCCCTGTGTCATCTCAGGGATAGTACAGCCTCATCTGTCCCATTTATTCAGCAAACTACTGAATGTCTTATAAGTGTCGTGAGTACTCTAAGCATTAAAAATAAGTACACCAGGCTGGTCATGGTGGTTCACGCCTGTAATTCCAGCACTTTGGGAGGCCAAGGCGGGTGGATCGCTTGAGGTCAAGAGTTCAAGATCAGCCTGACCAACACGGTGAAACCTGTCTGTACTAAACATACAAAAATTAGCTGGGCATGGTGGCAGGTGTCTGTAATCCCAGCTACTTGGGAAGCTGAGACAGGAGAATTGCTTGAAACCAGGAGGCAGAGGTTGCACTGAGCCAAGATCGCACCACTGTACTCCAGCCTGGGTGACAGAGTGAGACTCTGTCTCAAAAAAAAAGAATATACCATCCACCTCTTCAAGGAAGTTGCATTCTAATAAACCATATAAACACAAAAACACATACAACTATAGTATTTTAAAACACCATAGGCCGGTCGCGGTGGCTCAAGACTGTAATCCCAGCACTTTGGGAGGCCGAGGCAGGTGGATCACGAGGTCAAGAGATCGAGACCATCCTGGTCAACATGGTGAAACCCCGTCTCTACTAAAAATACAAAAAATTAGCT